CCACGAACCCCGCGAACCGACAAAATCTACCGGCACGACAAGACGGCGGAAGGACAACATCTCATGCTACATCTCAACCTCGTGATCGAATGTCACAACCGCCTCCGGAGCAGAATACACGACGCACTGACGCCGGGCGTAATCCTCCCATACTTCCCCAAGAAGAAACTGCCGAAAGTCAGTCGGGTCATTTACGACAGACACCGCCTCGTGAGCAGCACCGACATCCTTCCAATCCGGCGCAAACTGACCTCCGACAGCATATTGAACGGAATCGGGCTCGCCAAGAGTCGTCCGAACTCGAAACGCTACGACGACGAATAGCCGAATTGGAAAGTCGGCAACGGGTACCTGAGGATCCACCTCGATGGGCCTCTACCTCGGCTCAGGTGTATTTGGAAGCCGATTCTCCCCTCACTCCGGAACTTACTTCGGAACTAGTCCCTGGAAAAGTCAAGGTTCCAAAAATCGGGTTATACGATGGAACATCCGACCCGGACTCCCACCTCGGTCATTACACCTCTTGGATGGACCTGCATGGAGCGTCAGATGCACTTCGGTGTCGCATGTTTTCACTAACATTGGGGCCTCGGGCCCAAAAATGGTACCATTCACTTCCCCCTCACTCGATTTGGAAATGGCAACAATTGAGGTCGGCTTTCCGATCTCATTTTATCGGAGCCCAAGTATGCCTTATCCCGAAAGAGTCTCTCGCCAACATCACTCAAAAAGATGATGAAAGCGTTAAAGATTACATCGCCCGTTTCAACGACCGAGTTCAAAATATGGAACCCTGTCATCCGGAAACTTTGCTTGTTATGGCTATTGCTGGGTTGAAACCAAACTCGATTTTCCGCTGGACGTTATGCCAAAATAAACCGAATACTTTTCAAGAATTTCTTGCTCGAGCCCAACAGCATATCATAGCGGAAGAAGCCATGTCGGTTCCCGACTTCAATTTTAACCAAAAGGCCTCTAAGGTGGGAACCGACGAAAAGAGGAAGAATAAATTTTTTGACAAGCAAAATAAGACTCAATTCAGGGGGCCTCCCCGAGGAGACCCCAACGATCCCGAAGTCCGGGCGGCTCGAAAACAGTATGCGACCGACGTGAAGTCCGGTTATCAAACTGTGTACTCGGCGGGAGCAGCTACTATCTATGAAGAAATCAAAGGGAAGGGCATTTTGCCAGATCCCAAGCCACTTCGGGCGCCTGAAGAAAAACTGGACAAGTCCTGATATTGCGATTACCACAAGTCGCCCGGGCACAACACGGACGAGTGTTTGAGTTTGTTGGCCGCATTGCTGCGTTTAATCGGCCATCCGCACCTTAGGAAATTCTATCGTAATGCTGATTCCCAGAGGCGAGGTCCTGGGCGTCCGATCGAATCCTTTGATGATGAAGATGACGAGGAACACCGAGGTGCAATGACAAAACGCATCCGACAGGGGGATAAAGAAGTATTCATGTTTACCTCGGAAACCTCCGGTTCTGCCCCTGATGGAATTTCCCGAGGACGTAAGCGAGATAGATCTCCTGAACCAATGCAAATCACTGTCCATCGGGTCAATACCAACAACTCCCGGAGTGCGTTGTCCCGCCGACAGGTTAAGGCGTATGCCCGACAAGCTTACAACTCCGGTAAACAGGTTTACACCACCGATTTGAGAGATGTTCTCAACAATCGGAATTGCCCAATAA